CTACAAGAGTGTCCCACAAGAGCTTCCCACAAGAGTGTCCTACAAGACCGTCCCACAACAGCTTCCTACAAGAGTGTCCCACAAGAGTGTCCTACAGGAGTATCCCACAAGAGTGTCCTACAAGAGTGTCCCACAAGAGTGTCCCGCAACAGTGTCCCGCAAGAGTGTCTCACAAGAGTGTCCCTTAAGAGTGTCCCACAAGAGTGTCCCGCAACAGTGTCCCACAAGAGTGTCCTACAAGAGCGTCCCACAAGGGCTTCCTACAAGAGTGTCCCACAAGAGTTTCCTACTAGAGTGTCCCACAAGAGTGTCCCACAAGAGTGTCCCGTAAGAGTGTCCCACAGCAGTTTCCTACAAGAGTGTCCCACAAGAGTGTCCTACAAGAGTGTCATTTGGACATATGTAGCTTTTCGAACGTGTTTGCATTCGGGTTCGTGGGCTCCATCTTGTTTTTGTCATCCATGTCTTCGTTCGGATGAACAGGGAATAGTCCGAACACGTGGTCTCCATCGCTGCTGTTGGAAGGTCGGAATCCACCCCAACAGCCGTTGCTGATGTTGGGAGGTCGGAGCCCTTCCCATTCGTAGCCTTCCCTTCCCTTCCCTTCACATTCCAAAGAACAGACCTCAGAGAGAGGTCTGTGGATTTGTGAGCCAAAAAGGATTAGGCCTTCCTTTGTCAACAGAGCCTCGTCGACTTCACCTTTCTCCCGCCGACTCGTTCACGAGGACCTCTGAAGACGAGACGATTCACGGGAGGTTTTTTCATTCCAACGGGTAAAGAGGCCTGCCACAGCACGGGGCAAATCTCGCAAATCCCCACCAATCAGATTCCCTATAGTTTAGCATCTTCATGTGTCATGTGTAGTCTAGTCGCGAGATTCCAGACAGGAGATTCTAAGTCTGGCATGATCGTTTTGACCAAACTGGGCTCTCAGACTGCGACCACCAACCTCAACGGCATGCTGAACACCTTGGTGAAGGCAGCATCTGCTGCCCAACGTGTGCTACTTGAAAGCAGAATCCCGAGGAGGTTGACGAAGGCGATCCTGATTTTTTGGAATGCGACAACAGTTTGTAAAGCTTGGGAGGTCATCCATTCCAGAAGTAAGATCAGTGACAACGGCCATCGATCCAAAATCATGTTCCAACCTGGATGGACAGCCATACTCATAGACCAAGAAGGCTATCCAGGACACCAAGCAAAGTAATGATGAAGGGTCAGTGTCTTTGAGCCCTTACAGAGTTATCAGAGTTGTCCAATTCGTTGCGGGTCCATGTTTTTTTTTCCCAGCAGATATTGACAATATCATGAAATGTCACATATTGATTTCATCGTCGATGAATTGTTTACTGAGGTTTGAAATCATTGACTTGGAACCAGATATTCCAGCAGATCAGGGCGAGAAGGGCATGGATGAAGGGCCCTGCAGCATCTCTTTTCAGGCACGGGCTCTACATGAGGGTGGGACATGAGGCAGTTGGACGAAGATCCAGGACTTGCATCCTGGATGCCATGCGCATCTAAGTGCATGTCCATCTTTTTGGTGTGTGTGTGTGTGAAACATCATTGAAACAGTTCACTATGCGGCTTGTGGTGTATTCCTTCCAATATGTTGAGGAAGTTGGTTCACCAAGTCTTCCAGCAGAATAGGATACTGTAAAACGCATTCTCAGCAAGTGGTCAAGCTCGCTAAGTGAAGTTGAGACTTTGCAGCAACCCAGCGAAGACTAATATGGATATTATGATAGATTGAACCCCTCTCCACCTCGCTTCCTTACCACCTGGGAAGTCTTGAAGCAGTGCAGCTCGTTGATGATGCTGAAACCCAAACATACACGTACACATCTCAAAACAGCGGTGCACGACCCGCAAAACACATCCCCCTCGGGTTCATCCCTCACTCACTCTGAATGTGTTCATCCAGCCCTCGGCTTCATCGCTTCTAGGGTGGAGGCCATTGCTACTAGGTTGGAGGCCATTGCTACTAGGTTGGAGGCCATTGCTAGTAGGTTGGAGGCCATTGCTATTGGGTTCCTTTTGCTATTAGGCTGTTGAAATGAATGGATCCTTTGGACCCACAGGAGGTGAAATTCTTCTATCCCATGCGCCCGGACGCCATGGTCTTGAACGGCCTGAGCTTCACCGTAGGCCCTTGGGCATCCCAACGGGCCAGCTGGAAAAGCGGGCCGTCCACGGGTGTTGTTTTCGCGCACGTCCTTTTTCGCCCTGCGTGGAGGTTGGGGGTGTTGGACCTGCCAATCATGGTGAATGGGAGCCTGTTCTGGACCCCAAGGAGTAGACCTCCTGACACTTTGGCCAGAGGTGATCCTGAATCCTTTGCATTCTTTGGGGTGGACGTTGGGACGCGGAACCCGCATTCAACACCTTTGTGAATCCATTGCACCAACACCACCTGTCTGGGACTGGCATCCGAGACATTGAGGTGGTAGAAACATGTTGAAAAGGGGTGCAACATAATGCAATGTAGGATAACTATATAAGTAAGAATATACCTTATATATACTGTATATATATATATATCTTAACACATGTTAAAATATGCGAGTAAATGTTAAGAAGATGCCCCGTTTTGTGGAGTGAAGTTCCAACGGGCACCTTTTTTTCAGGTGCGGGTCAAACGGTGGCCATGGTGGGCAAGAGTGGCGCAGGGAAGCGACTCGGAAGATGCAGGGTGGCGCGTGGGCAGGTCTTGGAAGGACACGCATGGAGTGTAGTAGAGTAGTCCTGTTGAATGATCACGTAGATCTAGACCTGTTGGATGATTCACCTCATCCCCCTTTTTGTGGAGATGTGAGGGGGTTTTGTTCATCAGCTGTCTACAGAAGGGTTTTGAGGATTTAATTAGTTGGTTTTAGATGTCAGTTCTGAAGAATATTCGAGGCTTGGGGCAGCTTGAATGGAACACATCCTCACAACTGCTCTGAAAACTTGCTTGTGGGACCCTTCCTGAACTGGCATACTGCATACTGTACTATAGCGATGGCCTCCAACCCAATAGCGATGGCATCCAACCCACTAGCGATGGCCTCCAACCTACTCTAAATGATCCCATAAGGAGGTTCCATGGATTGGTTTCGTAGGCCAAGCGAGAAGCCATCCAAAGGGATCCCCCACTATAGACAGAAAAAGACCAGCGTTACCCCCGTTCGAGTGGTTTATACGACTTGACTTGACGGTCTTTTCACGTATGTTCCATCCAAGAAGCACCGAAAGACTTGGCCTCACAATTGAACGAAGACTCAGCGTGGAGCTGGACGCCGAAGCTGAGCTCTTTGGGGACCCATTTCGGTGCCGCTTTCGGACACCGTGTGTCAGTCAGTCTGAAACGTCCACGAGCCGCTGACCAACGGGCCAAAACGATCCTCACTGGTTTGTTGGTAGGGTTAGCTCAACAGAGTCAGATAAGTCCTCCAACATGTCCACTTGTTCAGCCTCCATCCATTCCATGATTTAGACGATTTGAGGCTAGTCTTCACAGAAAAAGGCAGCAAACCGAGCAGCTTGCTATTGTGTATCTCTTGGTCTCCTAAAGGTCCGGGGCTCTTCGGGTTCACCGCTTTAGCCACGCCTCTCGAGGAGCACGTTGGTGGGTTTGATGTTGCGCTTCTACGACCCCAAGGGCGGCGATGTACTCCTGAATGGATGCCCGCTGACGGAATACAACTTGCGGCTCTACCGGAAGATCCTTACTCACCTAAACCAACGGTCCGCGCGCGGGTCCGCGGGTTTGGTTGGGGGTCCGGCTCAAAGGTCGACGGCTCAACTGAGGGTATATATATATATATACCCTAGCCTTCCAAGACGATTAACAAAATTGTTGAACTGGTTTTTGTTGTGTAAAATCCTTAGCTAGCTCGGTAAAGCCTATTATTTTAATAGTGGTTGGAAGCCTAGGGTATATATATATATATGCATGGTCGATATATAACACATGGGAAAGACGGTCGGTGGCGGGTAAGTTCTCATGTTTTCCCTCCTTCCCTTGACCTTCTCCCTTTCTATCGGTCGCATCACAAGCAAACTTGCGACTTTCTCCACCAAGCTCATTGCCCATAGGTGCACCGTCCGGTGCTGGAGCGTCGGGCTGGGGCAGGTTCCGCAAGGGTCAAAAAGAACGCATCAGGTTGCAACCCAGCACCCAAAGGGTGGTTATTGGAAGGAACATACATCGTCAGAGGATGTCAGGGGTGTCTATCAACCATCCTTTCCACAGCTTTCATTGTGATCCCCTCCGACTTGGAACCGCTGTTGCACTCCAAGGAAAGTGGGAGTGGTGTCTCAGGATACACAGGCACGATGGCAGAGGATCAACAAGAAGTGGGTGCTAGACTGCTAGCTGCAGTCGATAGCCTGATCTGAGGCATTTTCGTTCAGAATCAAACTGAGACTGTGAGACGTCCTTTGTTGTACATGGGCAGTCATGGGCTCAGCCATTCAGCCATTCGTAGCGCATGGTCGGTGAGATGCTTTTGAATTAATCCTTGGGGCTCTATTGAGCCTATCTAAATGAAAGCGTTTCTACGCCAAATCACCAAGTCGGGGGGGGCATCTTAGAATCTTATATATTGTTGAGCAGAAGTGCCAGGGCCACTCCTCCCCAAAACATACTTCACCTCAAACGTCGATGAGACACGCTTGTGCTCAGCTGATTGGTCCATTCTGCTGTTGGGACTCAAGCGCCGCTCTTCCGGCGCGTCCGGGAGCGTCAGGTCTTTTGCCGATCCATCTTGGACAACCTGACCTATGGGCTGGAAGGAGGCGGAGATGTTTTGCAAGCTTGCGAAAGAGCTGCAGAGGTTCAGAGCTGCAATGAAGACTGCCAATGGCGGTGTGAGATGGCACTGGGTACCTATTGCAACACACACACAGACAGGCACACACACACACACACTTCGAACTTCGAACTTGGGTTTTCAGTTAGACTCAATTGCCACGATGGGAAG